CTGCCATGGCAACCCATACCCAGATAATCAGCTGAAAGAGGATGACATTCTGATTGAGGACTATTCTCGAGTCTGACTTGAGTCAAGTCATGTGACTTATGACCCCCACATCTGCAATTCAAAGTTGACCAAGAAATCTCCTTAAGAAATCTCTCCTATGTACATAAGAACTATAAGAGTTACTATTGCGATCATAGGTTTCACTTTACACTAAGGTTATCTTCTCAACTGTGACAATTATAGCATTCTGGTCCTATTTATAACTGAACTAAATATTTTCTGTTGGAGAGAAATCTTATCAAATGGGGGTCTTGATATGTATCAGTTTAGGGGTCCTTGACATAAAAAAGGTTGAGAACCACTGGTTTAAAAAAAAATATTTTTGAGTGTCGATTAGACATGGGTTTCTGGCCTCACAGTCAGATGCTTTGAATGCACAACAACCACCAAATGCTGTGTGGCCCTATAACAATATCATATTACTTCCAGCTTTGCTTCTCAGAGACAACAGTCAAAACCAGAAGAGGCTGCATGTCAGGAAAATGTAAACAGAAACATTTGGACAATCTACCAATGCTGTCATTTTTCTGTTGAGGACGGTCTTTTGTTGTTGAACTACTCATCCTCAGGGGAGGAGAAAAAAAAACACAGAGAAAACCTGGTAGGTTAATGGAAATTTTGTTGATTTACCAGGTCTGCCTTTTCCTCATTGTTTTATTGTCATGTCATTACTGCTTTGTGATCATGTTTTTGCCCTGCCCACTGGGCTGACACATTCAAATCTGTCCATAAAAAAAGGGTTTCAGATAAATCCAGACATTAGAAACACAGATAGGTAACAACAGACAGACTATGAACACATGCTTCTATTAGCTCCATTAGTGCTGATGTTAGCTTTGAGTTATTTATCCCAGTTCCAAACCCTGATCTGCACATCCTATTCACCCACCTTACTTCTGATCTCTGAATCAGCATTTAACTGTGAGCCAGGCTTTGGCTCAGTAATCATGATGTCTACATGCCTCTGGAAGAAAAAAGAGTTCAATGAGCATGTGTGGCCACATCAAGTAAATCCCTCTGGAGGTTTATTGCAGTTGGCAAATCAACTCACTCTGATTTTAATTCTGATTAATAAACCAGTATAAGCCCCAAGGATGTGAAGTTCACTTCAGTATTGTAATGTAGTGCACATCTTTTGTTTACATGACATAACAGAAGTGCATATGTAATGGATTCAATGTGGCCAGATGTTATGTGATGTGACAACATATTGCCACTCCCATCTCAACACAGATCACAGCTTTTTCAGTGGACTTTTGACATCTACATATGACACACTAAGTATCCTGGGTGCATCTGTTGTACTGTTGGACATTCTGGGACACCTGTTATATGCATTGTTTTGTTTCAAAACACAGTACAGGCCAAAAGTTTGGACACACCTTCTCATTCAATGCGTTTTCTTTATTTTCATGACTATTTACATTGTAGATTCTCACTGAAGGCATCAAAACTATGAATGAACACATGTGGAGTTATGTACTTAACAAAAAAAGGTGAAATAACTGAAAACATGTTTTATATTCTAGTTTCTTCAAAATAGCCACCCTTTGCTCTGATTACTGCTTTGCACACTCTTGGCATTCTCTCCATGAGCTTCAAGAGGTAGTCACCTGAAATGGTTTCCACTTCACAGGTGTGCCTTATCAGGGTTAATTAGTGGAATTTCTTGCTTTATCAATGGGGTTGGGACCATCAGTTGTGTTGTGCAGAAGTCAGGTTAATACACAGCCGACAGCCCTATTGGACAACTGTTAAAATTCATATTATGGCAAGAACCAATCAGCTAACTAAAGAAAAACGAGTGGCCATCATTACTTTAAGAAATGAAGGTCAGTCAGTCCGGAAAATTGCAAAAACTTTAAATGTGTCCCCAAGTGGAGTCGCAAAAACCATCAAGCGCTACAACGAAACTGGCACACATGAGGACCGACCCAGGAAAGGAAGACCAAGAGTCACCTCTGCTTCTGAGGATAAGTTCATCCGAGTCACCAGCCTCAGAAATCGCAAGTTAACAGCAGCTCAGATCAGAGACCAGATGAATGCCACACAGAGTTCTAGCAGCAGACCCATCTCTAGAACAACTGTTAAGAGGAGACTGCGCCAATCAGGCCTTCATGGTCAAATAGCTGCTAGGAAACCACTGCTAAGGAGAGGCAACAAGCAGAAGAGATTTGTTTGGGCCAAGAAACACAAGGAATGGACATTAGACCAGTGGAAATCTGTGCTTTGGTCTGATGAGTCCAAATTTGAGATCTTTGGTTCCAACCGCCGTGTCTTTGTGAGACGCAGAAAAGGTGAACGGATGGATTCCACATGCCTGGTTCCCACTGTGAAGCATGGAGGAGGAGGTGTGATGGTGTGGGGGTGTTTTGCTGGTGACACTGTTGGGGATTTATTCAAAATTGAAGGCACACTGAACCAGCATGGCTACCACAGCATCCTGCAGCGACATGCCATCCCATCCGGTTTGCGTTTAGTTGGACGATCATTTATTTTTCAACAGGACAATGACCCCAAACACACCTCCAGGCTGTGTAAGGGCTATTTGACCAAGAAGGAGAGTGATGGAGTGCTGCGGCAGATGACCTGGCCTCCACAGTCACCGGACCTGAACCCAATCGAGATGGTTTGGGGTGAGCTGGACCGCAGAGTGAAGGCAAAGGGGCCAACAAGTGCTAAACACCTCTGGGAACTCCTTCAAGACTGTTGGAAAACCATTTCAGGTGACTACCTCTTGAAGCTCATGGAGAGAATGCCAAGAGTGTGCAAAGCAGTAATCAGAGCAAAGGGTGGCTATTTTGAAGAAACTAGAATATAAAACATGTTTTCAGTTATTTCACCTTTTTTTGTTAAGTACATAACTCCACATGTGTTCATTCATAGTTTTGCTGCCTTCAGTGAGAATCTACAATATAAATAGTCATGAAAATAAAGAAAACGCATTGAATGAGAAGGTGTGTCCAAACTTTTGGCCTGTACTGTACATTTCCATTTTTACAGGAAATGTACAGTTTCTGCTCATTAGATGCATACAGACTTTTTCAAAATAAACTTACATCGGTAAAACAATTTCCTTGTGCAACAAAAGCATGTGGTGAGGTTTGGAAAATACATCATGGTTTGGCTCTACATTCATTCGGGAAGAGAACACTGGGCTCTATCCCACCTGCCCTATAGGGACCTTCCAGCTACTTAAAGGGATAGTTTGACATTTTGGCAAATTTGCCTATTGCCATAATCCCTATAGTCATATGGGTAGGTACATTACCTTTAATTATCAGTGCCTGTTGTTCTGAGATCGGTGGGGCAGAGCTGCCTGCTGCTCAGCGCACAAAATGGAGGTGAACGGTACGGCCCCCTCTCTCCCTCAAAACTAATCAAATACACCATCAAATGACTCCAAAACGCTCTTGTGGACAACTTGTAGCTTACACATTCACCACGATATGAAATAATAATGTATAATTAAGTAACATTACGACACAGGAAGCAAATACTCGGAACTACTTTCTTGAGTAAACCACTGGGCGGAGTGACACAGTGCGCACCTGAGACAGAGTGTTGTTGTAAATCATGGTTTACACATGTATTGTAAAAGGTTGTGGTAACAAGCCGAAGACATGGAGCAGAGTGAAGTTTCACACTTCACTTCACTTCCGCTTCCTGTCTGCCCACCGCGCTACTGTCTGTCCCAAATGAAAAATGAAAAAAGGAATTTGCAAATCTAAAATTGATTTTCTGGTTTTTCGTTTGAAAACAAAAAAGGAATAGATCACTTGATTTTGTTTTTCATTTTTGGTTTAAAATGAAAAAAGGAAAAAACCACGTGACTTCCGTTTTTGGTTTCAAACGCAAAAATGAATTGGCTGAATGTCCGCAGACCTGTTCAATATTCAATCCAAAAAGGAAAAACGGTAAAACAAATCGGCAAAAACCAAAAACGGGCCGGGTTTGATTGGTTTTTCGTTATTTGATTCTGACACCAAAAACGTTTTGCTTAGGTACTCTTGTTTTTTTGTTTTGAATCAAATAACAGATTTACCGTTTTTGGTTTTTGAATTACGAATGAATTACGAATTATCCAATGATACCCGGACTGGTGTCCTGCCAACTCAGCAGGTTAAGACCTTTGTCACCGTCTCAGTTTCATTCTGCCATCCCTCCTCACTATAAACTGCCCAGTAAAGTAGAAAAGCCATTAAAACTGCAACCCATAATATGCATTAATATCATACCAGCAATAATGTAGTTATAGCAGGTGTCATGTTCTCAGATGGCTGCTATCTTGTGAAACTCTTTATATTGAAATTGTGGAATGTCAAATGATGTGAGGCTTCACTAGCTGGAACAGACAGGGCATTAATACTCCCTATTCACAGAGACGAGTGAAGAATACTACCTGCTGATGCTAAACACTTTATTTAGTAGCTTGTTCTTTCCTCTCTGTCCTTGATAGTGGTAAATTCTTGGACTGCAAAACCTCTGTTCTTGTTTTGTCCCTTGTTGTCTGTTCTCATTCCTGAAAGGCTGAAGATGGCTATATTGCCTTGGGTATATGTAACATTCCCTGACTGCTGAACAGAAGATGGACAGCCATTATGCTAATGCTGTCCCCTGGAGTTTTCATGAGCCGGTCAGTGTGTATGCGGGGACACTCCGATTGGTGTCACTTCCAGGTTGACATTCAGGCAGTGATGCACGTGTCATGCTCATGATTGAGCAGCAGTCCACACAGCTAAAACTAGGAAAGCTGAGAACTGAGGCAGGCATACACTAAAAATGTTAAAGTGAAGCAAGCTGAGGTCAGCGGCTCAGAGGGCCTTGTTGGGTCAGACCTCTGACAGCTAGGGGAGAGCACAAATAGGAAGAGATGAGGGTCAAGAGAGATAGATAGAAAGATATATTAAGAGAGAGCTGTTATCATGTTTGTGTCCTACCTGTGTGGGACTGTAGAGCTCCTGCAGGGCATTGCGGGACCCTTTCCTACAGCAGCCGTCCACCACAAAGGGGTTCCTCCGCATGACTGCAAAACAAAAGGAGACACAACTAAAAACTTTCATTCAAATCAATAAACCCAATCCAAACCCCCATTTCCACTTTTACATCAACAGTATTAGTTATTTTTTGACCATTCTCGGAACCCATCGGCTGTATTTGGTGTCTGACTTCCGGCAGATGGCGATACAGCCTCTGGGGGCAGACCACCGATTTTTTGGCATTCCGGTTTGATTTGGGCGAAGGAGAATTTCCGTTTCTGACTTCCGTTTATATATAAGTAAATATGCTGAACCATTGCGATGAATGGTTTGCAGTGATGCCAATTATGTTCCGCCTCGTTAGTTCACCGCACGGACCGTTTAACCTGGCAACAACTGCAGCCGGCTCAAACGTGACTGGTCAATATCATGCGGACTACAAACAGCCTACAACCGGAAACCAGGGCTCTTCCACTCTTCTTCTGGAGGCAAGATCTGCCCAGTGGGCAGATGTAGAGTCTGTATATAGAGACTATTTTTTGACAACCTGCCATGCTCATCTGTGCACAGATGACACAGTACTGTGTACATCTAGCAGACAAAAACTTACAGTGCCAATTCAGACAAAAGGTTGGCCATCTTCCCTGTGTTTCATGGGTGAATGGTTTTTAAGTTTTGTCCGTCTTGGACAGTGGTAATGTGATTCAATGGCAAGCACCCCCTTCAACTCTTAAACTTCTGAACCCAGTCTATCACCCTGCTTGTCTATGGTACACATCATTGTATTTCATATGACAGAGTTGGGTGAGTCTTCTCTCCAAGACAGACGTAATACTCATTGGTATCTTTTGATCCATGAAGCCCTAACTGAAATATGACCAAATCACCTTTTTGTCACTCAGATGGGCTTCATTAGACACACTCTACTAATTGCCTCTTGCCTCATGTCTCACAAGTTAGTTGAACTTGGAAAAACTGCTTTTATTTTAGTGCAGCTAACTTCTGAAACTAAATACAGCAACTCCTTAAAATCAGTTCACATTTTAGAAATCTGATCATGTAATTATTTTTATTCATCTATCAAATTATCTACCCTAATTACTATAGGGATGCACTGATTTATTGGCTGAACATCAGTATCAGGCAATATTCTCTTTGCTGACTGCCATCAGCCTATGGTCAAATAAGATGACATTAACCGATGGCAGTGCCTGATGTTTTTCTGTTTCTTTCTTTTTTTTCTCCTCTGTTTTCTGTTTTTCTGGATTTTGCACAGAGTAAAAGGCGGGGCTCAGACTAACGGCCACAAACTTAAATTAATAAGCAGGTACAAGAAGACTGTTTAGCTAATGGGCTCTGCAATTTCACTGACGTGTGACAAGAAGATGTGTTTGGGAATTGGGACAAACAGACAGCTTCCCCAGGACACCATCGGGATGAAAAGACTAAATTAAAATAACGTTGTTAACAACGAATCCATATTAAAATCAGCAGGAGGAAAGCTAGTTAACATTAGCTATTAGCAGCGGTGGCTGCAACTACGATCATGATGCATTCAAGCTCTATTCAGTACAAATGAGTATAAAGCAAAGGTAAATTATAATGTTCTCATGATGTGTTTAATGTAATCTTGTAAATGTAAGTCTTGGTGAGAAACTTGAATAAATACAGCTGTTTGAAGGAGAAATTTGTTGTTTTAAAAGCAATAAAAAATACATATTAGAATGTTAACTATGATCTATTAAAGATCCATTAAATGCTTTTACAGCTGTTATTATTATTGAAAAAAAAAAGGTTTTCCTCATGTAAAAGGTTATTTTAAGGTTGTTTCATAAATGTATATGATTGAATTTGTGCCCATTTAGAGGTTGTGTCTTGAAGGGCTAAATTACAATTTCACAATCGGTGCAGTACTTAATGTATTAAAATTGCACCATAAAATTAAAAAATACAAAAATCTGAAATGTTTTTTCATAGAATGTGAAAAATTAAACACACAAAACCTACTGATTCAAAAGATTCAAGATCAAATTATTTCTTAACACTCCATGAGTAATTTAAAGTATGTACATTTTTTTAGTTTTTGAGATATGCTCATTTTTATGAGCAGAGTACAGCAGAGCTGTTTTGATGGTTTCATCTGCAGTAGGAATGTTTCCCTAGTGCCTACACTAGTATTTTTTGGTATTTCATATCCCTAAAATCTGTGCAGCCTAAAAGCTAAGAGGTTAAGAAAATCAATAAACCATAATGACTGATAAAAAGTATTGAAACTGTCATAAAAAAATACAACAGACATTTCTGTCAACCTGCTTCTCTGATGCCACCGCATGTTTTCAATGTTTTATGGACCACTTGTAGTGTAATATAATGTAAAGTCTGAGCTTTCTGTTGCAAAAAGAATGAAAGCTCAAACTCTTAAAGTTTTTTTTTACTTTAGATTGATTTTAATCAAGATCATGAAAACAGCAACCCTCTGTGGCCGTAGCAGGAGGTCCATCATAAAAGTGTTAAAGTTTCATTTGTGAATGAAAGACTGTTTAATCTTCCAAAAGGTACACAGTTGCGCTTTAAATGAGCAAAACTGTTGAGGAGTTGTAATTTTCGGACATAATATTATATTGATATATGGACAAAGATACCTATGGTGTCCCACCATAGTGGACATTGGTTTTGATTTGGCATTGGTTTTGATTTGGCTTTTGCTCCCTTTCTGCTTAATAGATTTCATTTCAGTAATTTTAATGAGCTTGCAGGTGAACGGCTGCACTGTTCACCTGCCAACTCTGTTTGATAAGGGTTTGTTGCTAAAAAGCTTAAGAAGATTTTTTTGTCATGTTTTTTCTAACGGTGGAGGGATCAGAAGAGTCACTCCTTCACTGGGTTGTATTCCTGTGACTGATGCAAGAGCAAGATCTAACTACTCTTTGTTTTGCTGTGGACCCCCTGGACTCATCCTCAAGGATACCAATTTGGAAACGATCACTTTAAACAACCAACTAATGTGAGAAAGAGGCTGAAAGCTACAGGGATAAATAATGAGAGCAGTGACTATATGCCAAGGGCGAAGCCACAGTTCAGCATTTGTTTGGCTGGTTCTCAGCTCTTTACACAACTCGATACAGAGCGGTAGCTGCTGGCAGCAGCTCAGTGGGAGCAGCCAGCGCAACACTCCGCCCCTGCCAACACACTCTCTCCAATTACTGTGTATGGAAAAGTGCTGAGGGACAAAGCAGGATCTACGGGCAAGAATATGAACCGCTAACAAGAAAGCCAAGCATTTAATGGCAGTTTATTCCACACATGATCTGCCTCATGTTCATGGATGAACATGTGTTACTGCCATCAAGAGAGCTAATAATGAGACTGATGCACATTCACACTGGATACATTTCTATACAGTACATCTCCATTAGTTAAACTTACCAGTGAAGTGCATGATTAGTTTAGTTTAGTTTATTTGTTTATTTGAAAAGGGACAATATACATTAATCAACATTTTAACAAAAATGTGAATGCACCCGAAATAGCCGAGAGGCTAATTTTCATCGGTAGTCCCTTTGCCAGTTGTTAAAGGCATCAATAAAATACAACATCCAATATAAATAAAATATAACCCATTAAAGATAACACATTATATACAAGATAAACATTATGTATGGCACACACATACTGCTGAGTGACAATAACCCTCAATTGCATGATGCTCCTATAGAATAGTGAGGCAAACATCAGTGTTCACATTTTTGTGTTTCGACAAGCCTTGGCATTGTGCTTCAATGAATGATATGACAGAGATACTCTGATTGATTGTGGTACTGAATTCCATTGATGTGATGCTCTGAAGGAGAAAACTGCCTGACTGTAGTTTTTCTTAAGGGAATTGTGCAGTCTCCCCTCACTGCACCTCTAGTACCCCTGTTACCAGAAGATCTGAAATTAACGTAGCCAGATAGAGGAGGAGGACCTGAACCATGCAAGATCTTATATACCGGACAGATGTTTTTGAATATAATGAGATTTTCCCAACTAAGCAATTTATATTTTTTCAGTATATGACAATGATGAAATCTGAAAGGTTTCTTATCTAATATTTTAAGTGCTTGTTTATATAATGTTTCTATTGTTTTCATTGTTGTGGTGTTTGCAGTAGACCAACTTGTCAGACAGTATGTGATGTGGGAGAGAACCATCACGAAGAAGTACATCTTGGCTGCTTTACATTAATTACATTTATTACATTCACATCACAAGGAATTCATTATATGACAATGTAAACAACAAATAAGCTTTCTTTATAAGACTCCACTGGTTTAACTTGAAAAAAATGAAATTTAGTGGTCAAATTATTTCATTTAAGATATTCTTACTCATTATTTTAAGTACCCAAAACTGTACCCAAAAAATGCCAAATAAGTTGTCAACTGACTAAAACACTTGCAACAACAAACATATTTTTAATGCTGAAAAACTTCATCATTTTAAGCATTATCAACTATGAATATTTTTTAATTCACTGTTGTACATATTTCAGTTAGTAATCTTACCCTTTTGTGCAGTTCTAAACTGGTTACCCAGTACCTTGATTAGCAGATCAACCAAAAAATAATAATCAAGAGCATTATAGATAACTAACAGGTTTTCCAACAATCGGACAGATGCTTATTTATTTATTTCGTTGTCCCCTCATTTATGATTGATGATCTTATGTGTACATATGTACGCAAGTTTCACACTGATTACAATCACTCAATCGCCCAACAGTTTTAGACTATGCTAAGCCATGGCTCTTTTGAAGTTCACTGGTCAATATCTTCAAATGAAATGTGATATCAACAAGCTTTATGCAACTTTTGATAAGCTTGTTCCAATAGTCACATAAAATTTGGTAAAAACTGGACCTAGGGTTTAGGTTTTGGAGAATCTAGGCTACTGGACTTTAATGGTTTTTCTGGCCTTTTTTAGGGCACTTTGAGCTAGACTTGTGTCAAACTTCTATTTCAGTTGGACTGACAGTGTAAAGGGCATGGCCCTTCCAAAACTGCAT